CCCCTGGTAGGGATTCAATAAAGGTGGACATATTGTCCCAGAGGAAGTATTGGTAAGCAACCAATTGATAATTAGCGACTAGCATGGTGAAGACTGTGGAAGAGTAAAGCTATCTACCCACAGAGTCTATTTGTTGACTGTCTTTATTTGGTGGTATGAGAGATTGTCGGTGTTGAGATCTCGATTGTGAGGCTTTGACAAATATAGAATTTGGAGCTGGTTGTTTCTCAAGGAAAGTGGCTCCTGGGTCATGGATCCTATAGAGATTATCAATCCATTTAGACATGGTATGGGAGGAAGCTGGCTTTGTCCAGGATCCCTGTGCAGTACTAAGGAGAGATGGCAACATCGATATGTGTACCAGAATAGTTGTATTTTTAGAGATTGGATAGTATGGGTGATTGGCTGGTTCTGTTGATGGTTGGTGGATTTGAAGATCGAGGGATTTAGCCATGCAGATCATAATTTGGGCATAAGTCTGGAAATCCTCTGCCAGTGACAGTGAGTTGGTGTCGACAATGTTCGACTCTGCGGAGGTAAGTAATACTGATGGAGTCTGTGGTCAAGATCCATGGTCAGAGCCTTCGAGGTCATGTCTGGACTCAACGTATTGTCGATCGACTTTGGTGTCGAGAGGCTGAGCTTTGTAGTATTGCCGGTTATGAGTTGGAAAAGATGCAGGCGGCATGTCCATGGACATCTGTTGATGTTGAGAATCGTCGACATTGAAAGGTGGTGGTTGAGTTTGGTAGGGATGGACCTCAGTGTTGAGTCCGATGTCATAACGGTGCCAGAGTCAATGACTTGGATTTACTGGAGGGCAGGAACTTTGTGGAAGTAACAGAATGGAATGTGCGGGATGGATATTGAGGATCGTCGCTATCAGAGCCTGTGTCCCTATGATGCTGAAAGAGAGGTTGCTGATGCAATGGCATAGCAGTAGAATAAACGGACACTGACAATGCCGAGCATGAAGAGTGGTTTCCATCGTCTAATCTAGTAGGAAAATAGGCTGGGGCTTCAAAAGCCTTGCATGCGGAAAAAAACTGCTCAACTGTTCTGGGCTTTTTTGATACCAGGTGGGGAGCAGGCTGAGGTATAGCAATGTCTTGGTGATGTGGCCGTTTCAACACCGATGGCTGTTGAGAGGTAGGCCAACTACTAGAGGGTATTATCAAACCAGATAAAACACCTAGTTGACTAGTCAGTGCAGTTTGTTGAACAGAGCACTGGTTGGGGCAAATGGCAATCCGATGCGCGTGCTGAGCGTGGGTTTGAACCACATGCGATGAAGCAAGCTGTCAACATTGGTGATGTTGATGGTTCTGGTTAGGGATTGGTGGGCAATCCAAGGGTATCGAATATGGAATGGTGTCAAGCAGTTCGGGATGGAGATCATCAGGCAAGGCAATAACCGAAGAATTGCTCAAAGGAATAGAAGGTTGTAGACTGGGAGGAGAGGACGTTAGGCAGTCAACTCTATTGTTCCATTCTGGAGACTGAGAACAGGGTTGATGGGATGGGAGTCCGTCATCATCTGAAGGAGAACCAACTGAAATTGATTCAGAGAGTTGTTGTGGTGGGATGGCTGCAGGCTTAGACTGCTTAGCTCTTTTTAGAGGAACAGGCTCCGGAGCCGAAGCAGTTTCAGTAGGACAATGATGTCCAGAAGTCATTTTTGACGTCAAGGACTTCAGTATCGAGGATTCCAACTTGTGTCTTTGAGGTCTTAGACAATGTAGATGGAGTATTGGAGTGAGCTGATATAGCCAATGGACGTTGCTTTGATGATTCAGCAATAGCTTTTTCCATTGCTTTGGTTTGGGAAGTGGCCCTACAGGGAGGTCTGGCCATTTGAACTGGTTGTAAAGCTTGTTCCCAAAGTTGGAATTTTAGCCTAGAGAGGCAAGACCGGAGAACTCCACACTAAAAATTTTTGCAATGGGTACAGAAGGAAGTTTGATGTTCTTCTCCCAAACAGAAAAGGCACTCAGCGTGTCCAGCGGAAAGTGGGATCTTATTATCGCAGACGACACCCAAAGGGGCCATGAATTAGTAAGAAACGATAAAGAGAAAATGAATTGAATGGGGGGGGGGCGGCCTAAAGGCTGATAGCCAAAAGGAAAAATATTATATTTGTTTAGCTGACAATTGTAGTAAAAGAAAATGAAATAAAAGGAATCAAGATTAAGCTCTTTTTCACTTTACCCACAGAAGCAGAACGGAGAAAGAGGCTCTCAATGCGGCGGTAGAAAGAAACTGAAAGGGGACGCTTGGCGCCATGGTACTTATATGGGTGGGGAGGGGCTTATTCTAATGTGTTTATTGCTACCGCAGAAGCTCTAGAATCTTGCGATGAGGCTCCGCGCAGGCGTGAATCACCCAGGGTGTGATTCACAGAGGCCACAAAGAAGAACCCTCATTCTCTTATCTGACTTATAAAGCCAGTACAGGTAGCATGGCAGATGTTGCATAGTAGGTTAATATAATAGTATTCCTGAAGAGCAACTGAAATCAGACTAAACCCAACACTTGGAAAATCACCTCTACCAATACAAAAGAAAAGTAAATTTAGGCTTTAAGTTACATTGAAATGCCCTAAAAGTTACCAAAGGTGTTTTAATAGCTTTTGCACCCCTTTTTTCTCTCTCAATATCTTAACTGAAATTGGGAAACTGACATATTTCTTATGATTTTATTATAGTTTAGGATGAGCCTTCCAAAGGCTCAATTTTAACTAGTTCGAGTAAAGACAGAATATTTCACTATACATATACAAGACCTGGAAGGCCTTTGATGTTATATAATTCAATCATTCGGACAGTGCAAAATTTTGGTGCAGAATTAAATTTTATATTGAAAAGAATGCCCTAGGTAGCTAGTAATAATTAAACAAACAAAATACAGTAGTCATGGTCTTTCAAACAGGTGGACCCCAGATCATAAAAGGTTTATAGATCATAAGCAGAATGTATGCGAGACAACATGCTCTTTGATTTTCATTCCCACTGGGTGAGGCTCCGCCCCTCTCATGCACGATTTCTCCCCTGCATGTGCACCCAATTCTGCCCCCCTGCACGTGCACGGAGTTCTGTTGCAGCCAGAACCAAGGGGGCCACACGGAGTCACTATTTCAAGCAAGGCAATCACATGTTCCATATAAAACATCCTGAAGAACTCTTCATGTTCACTGCTAAGTTATGTGTGATTCTGAAGTGTCTGAATCTCCTGAAATGTTTACTATTGCTGATATGCAATGATGATGAAACTTTGATTGCTATTTGTTTTAATGCTAGGATTTTTAATGTTTGTTTGTGGTTTATATTTTACATTCAAGCCACATGAGTTATAGTAAGACATATTAAATATTAAAGCATAAAGCAATAAAATCTGCAGTATGTCTGTATGTATGTGTGAGTTGATAGTTACTTTGAACAAGTCATTGGAATAAAAGGTCTTTCTTGCTACTTTTTTGTGGACTTTTTCAGTGGAAACAAAGACTAAAGGACTTCATCAAAGCAAAAAGGAGCACAGAAACACACAGGCTGCAAAGGCACCTCTGTAGACAGTGCTTCCCTCATGTTGACAGCAGGAAGTAATAGGAGGAAAAGGCAACTGCAATTTCTGCCTCAACACTTCTCCTTTCAGGATCCATCCCTCGAAAGGCAAAAAGCCACACCAGCAAAGATAATCAATCCAAGCACAGTAAGCTGGCCAGGTTGGACCAGAGTAGTAATGTTAAGTCCATGGTGGGTGAAGGTATGGGCAGCAAAACCCTTTCTCCCCTTTTCAAAGGGCTGGCGTGTGTTGGGCCAAATATCTCCAAAGTTCCATAGTTTTCCCTTCATTGTCCAAGGCTCTCAACCCAGTGTTGGTATGTTAGAGGCAGGTACAAGAAGGATGTGGGCTGAGGAACATGGCAGCTGCAGCAGCTGTTCACTCAGATGGTGATTCTTGTTGAGCAACGGCATTAAGGTAATGAAAAGAATCCTTGCCTCATCCACAGTGGTTCCCCCTAGCAATACAGAATCTCTGTACTGGGCATGCAAAAATTGCTGGGCCTCTACAAATTCAAAACTTGAAACAGTATAAATTATTGCTCCCATAAAATGTCAGTGTAGTGTAGTGGATAGAGTGATGGACCAGGACTCTGGAGAACAGGATTTGAATCCCCACTTTATCATGGAAACTCAATGGAGGAGTGGAACTGGCAAAACCACTCTTTAAATATCTCACTTACCCTGAAAGCCTGATTTGGGTTGTTATAAGTCAGTTCCAACACACACACACACACACACACACACACACACACACACACACACACACACACACACACACACACACACACACAATCCTGCAGATGAAAAATATTTCCAACAGTCTTAAGCAGAGAAAAGTCTCAATACCAGACAGATTGTCTTGAGTATATGGAAGTTCCAAACTACATTTACAGACAATAAAGATCTGTGAAAGTAAGAGAGAAATGAAACATAGATATTTGCCTAAAGATCGTGAGTATTTAAAAAATCTATTTAATGTGCAGGAGCACAAATTCATACCACAGAGCTTCTGCTAACATACTTATCCATAGGCCAGTGCCAGAATGATCAATGTTGTAATCCAATTAGTATGCATGTTGTCACTGTAAAAGTCTGCAGAAATGCTTGTAAATAATTCAACTGGATATACCTGCAGCATTTCTATGACTTGGAGCACTGTCTTACACGGATGAGAATTCCCACAATTAGAGCTACAGACTTTCAGGCTAAATGCCTGAACAGAGCTATAAGTTGGCATAGTTTGTGTATTCATATGTCGTATTTTTAAAAACAAACTGCTTTCTGAAAGCCAACTCTGCTTTGCTGAAGAATTCGAATGGGCAGCAACATACTCAGAAAATAGTTCATTGGGTCTGTTTGTAACTATATAGATTTAAATTGGTTAACCCTACTACATATAAAAGTGCTTTATAAAAATAAATGCTCTTTACTAAACATTACCAAGGATATCACTCAGTTTGTTCCAATATGGGGATGTTTCAGCTGGCTGCAATGGCTGAAAAACTTGATGATTGATTGGAAGCTTTTGTACAACAGAAGTCACATGATTGAGAGTTACTTTAAGGGCAGTTTCAAAAAGATTCTTCTGGCCTTTAGAGATTTCATGCATGCCGAGGCTTAAACATGGAGCTAAAAGGCTTATGTTGAAGTCCTGAAAGAACAGATAAGAGAAACTTCAGGATAAATTTTTAATGCAGAAATTCTTAATAAACTGATATGATATAAAGCAGTATCATATCCAGATGGCTGTTAATTAGGTTATATCTGAAGTTAAGTTTATACAACAAATTCCACTCAATATTGAATACAACAGATGGCTGGATCCAGAACACACAAAAAGTGAAATCTGAAGAATACCTAGTGCAAGATATGTTCATTAAACATTATGAGACAGGCAATATTTATGTCTGGTATAAAAAACCCCATAAAATGAAAGATATTTTGCTTGTATGCATGGAGGAATAATATCTATGCCTTTATTTCACATAGTGGTAGCTATAATTTCATCAGAATTTAGGTTAAGCAACAACTGGATGAAATTCTATTGTTACGATACACATATGTATGCAAAAGGTTTGTGTGTGTTACAGGGGGAGAGACAATCCCAATCAAATCTAAATGTGAATTAAATATGTAAATATTCATAAGATTTCATAATTAGTAAAAACAAAAAATATAACTTGTCTTGTAAGCAAGCTCTATGGCCAAACCCCTCTTTCATAAATTAACACCAGTATAAGAAAAATGCTATAACCTACAGGTTGTCACTGACTGAACAGTAAATTCTCATTTCTTAACCTTAATCTCTTTGCATGAGAGTTGGGTGACTCTGCATACAACACAGAATCACAGCAGAGATGCTTTAACTTGTGCCAATCTAATTAATGCAAGAATCCAAAAGACAGCATCACAATGAAATTATGCTTAAGTAATCAAATTGAAGTAGGGACTATTTAATTAACAACAATCTGCAATTGCAGATTACACTGTCTCCCTTATGCCAAAGTAATTTATGCAAGATGATTTTGGCCATTAGTGCAAAATGACACTCAAGTTGTAAATATTCAGTAAACTTTACTATTTAAAAACAGAAAAAGACTGAACTTTACCTATCATGGCCCAATTTCCTGGGTACATAGTACCAATTTCCTGGTATACATTTATCATACATAAATAATCTATTGCAACGGATTGGGAGACCAGCCCAATGTTAGATTACTTGGGATTTACTTTGATCACATAGCTGCATACTTGAAACAGGAACTGATTTCCATTTTCCAAGAGTGTTTGCATAAAGTAGCAGCCTTAGTAATAATTCTGATGGACGTCTTAAGAATATTTTGTTTTTATTCAAAAGAGCAAAGAAAGATATTTGAAGATCTGTAACATGTTTTGAATCTATTCAAAGAAGCTAACCTTACATCATGTTAATGCACTAATGTTAAGACTCAAAAATTGATTTAACTTGGAATTTAAAAACAGGTACTCCCATGGATTGCATCTGATGGTATCCAACAACAGAATAGATTCTCACTCACTCTCTGCATTCTCCTATACTCTGATGAGTGGGAATACTTGGTGGGGGAGAGTACTTTGGGATACTTGTGGGGGATTACTGTGAAGCAGAGCTTTGGGAAAGGGAAGAAAGAAAATTCTGTCACATGACTGCAAGTCCATTTATAGAATGTTATTTAAATGTTTAAAAAGTATGACCATTCCATAATCTGCACGATGTGTCAGCCATCACATCTTTCTGCAGCATAGTAACAACTCTAATCATTTGCCTTTGCCTTTTGTTTGCTCTTTTTTCTTATTTATTTAGTTATATTTATATTTATTTATTTATTTATTTGATTTATATCCCGCCCATCTGGTCTGGTCGACCACGCTGGGCGGCTTCCAATAAGGTGTATACGAAAAAACATAAGAATTTTACAAACAGTCCATAACACATACAATAATAAAACAAATAATAAATGAAAGAAAAAATAAA